CATGCTATAAAAATGGACACGCATACCTTTGTGTGTGTGTGTAAAAGCATATACATGACAACATTCCACACGGCACAGGCAACCTAGGTTGGTGATATTTTAGTCAGATGAAACTCCCATTCGGACCCCGGGCCTTCAAGGATGGCGATGCCTAAAAAGCCAGAGCAGCACCACAGCTACATTCTAAAGGTGCCCACACACCTTGCGATAATCGTACGATAATCGCGGGAAATCCCGCGAGAGTGTGCGATTATCGCAAGGTGTGTGGAAGGTATGCAAATGTATTTACTGTACGGTGCACGACTTTGATCTTAGGGACATGTTCGAAAACCCACCGAGAATCGTACGATTGTCGGCGGGTGTGTGGCTTGTCCGTAAGATAAGCAAGCAAGCGCACACTGCCCTTTCAGCATTGCGGTCATCGGAAGCCCACCCCTCAGCAGAGTGGGCTTGCGATTATCGCAAGTACGATCTGCTTGTCCAAGATGGGCAGATCGTACGTTTTTTTAAATTACCTCACAACCAACGCAAGACAAAAGTCTTGCGCTGGTTGTAAGGACTGTGGCCAGCATAACACTGTGATACAAGCAGGATGAAATCACCTCTAGAACAGGACTAAAGAACGTTCATTTAACCCCTTCAAGTCAGAGCTAGAGGATGTTCCTTATCATCACCAAGGGTGGAACATCCCTTGAAGAAGCAGATGTGCTTACTTAGAAGCACAGGGCCAAGAGCACTGGTGTGTAGTAACCCATAGCAGCCAACTGGAGATCAGTTTTCAATACCTCAGACAGTCTTTGCTGCCAGGGAATCGGTCTGTGTGAAAGGAAAATGAGAGAGTACTTCTGTTCTCTGGGCTTTACAAATGTATGTGGCCACAATCAGACACAGCTCACCATGAATCATTGTTGTCTTACAGTACCGGGCTTGTGCTGTGCGCTCTTTGTACCAGTCGCGCTTACAATGTACTATGGCCACCACCACTGCCCCGCTCCTGACAGAGTGAAGGGCAAGCTGAGGACAAAGTCTGCTTTTTTTAGTCCCGACAACAACACTCAGACAACTCCAAAACGGTAAAGTGATCATCAGTACCAAGGCAATGATTAATGAAATCAGTGCAAAGAGCAAGGACTATGTGCAAAGCCAAGTAACCTGGAGCTACCCAGTTCACTATACATGAGTTCTGAGCACTGGCCACGATTCATTCTGATTGGTCCAGGGGTTCTCCCCATTGTTCTGTGGCTTAGAAAGGTACACGACACAACCACACATTCCGTTTTCCATAATAAACATAAAACTCTTCTTCCTCAAATCCATACAGCCTTATTACACCATGGCAAGCAGCTGTGATCAATCTGAAGGTCACCACACACATTACAATCTGATTGAACATTATATTTTAGACCTACCAACAACTATGTAGTGCAAGAGCCTGTCCAATTGGATACAAGGTGATTGGTTAGATTAGGGAGGACTTCATATTACATAGATTTGGTAAATCTAAAATGGATTGTACAGCCAGATTGAAACACGAATGGTGATCCTGATATGGATCCGACTTCAGCAGAGAGAATTCTGATTGGTTGATAGAACTCTCAATATTCACCATCCACATTGCAATCTGACCATACAATCTCTGTACAATCAACGTTAGATCTACCCAAACTATGTCATTTGGGGACCTATCCAATCAATATGTATCCATTCATGCAAACTCGTGAACTATATACTTATTGGTAGTTCTGAAGAAGATTGTACAATCAGATTGTATTGTGTGTTGCGAGTTTAAGAATAAGAGCTCCTTATTAATAAAAGTTAATGCTAAGAGGAAACATGCAGTAACCCAGAGCAACCAATCACAAACCCCATCACTGTATGCTATCAGCCAGAAAATGAACTGATCGCCATGGGCTGCTGCACACCATCGCTTCCACTATGGAAGAATCCTGCAAGTGTTGCTCCTCATACACACAGCATATAAATAGCTAATCTCCCCGTCCATTGAATGAAATGTCTTACCCAGCTGTGTACACACGGCATACGGTAATCTCCAGTTATCAGGATGTACATGGTAATATATGTATACAGGATTAGTGCTTGCTGATAATATTCCAAGGTAGCTTTTTAACTATTTTTTCCATACTCAATCCTGCAAGTCAAAGCTCTGTGCCGAATGTCAAGTCACCATTTATACATTACACGCCGCTGAAGGGACAGCTCACTAGATGGGAACAAAAGTAACCCAAAGCTGAGAGTGTCCATCATATAAAGATCTCCCATAGAGTAACACAAAGTAATGTTCTGACCTGAGAGTGTCCATCATATAAAGATCTACCATAGAGTAACACAAAGTAATGTTCTGACCTGAGAGTGTCCATCATATAAAGATCTCCCATAGAGTAACCCAAAGTAATGTTCTGAGCTGAGAGTGTACATCATATAAAGATCTACCATAGAGTAACCCAAAGTAATGTTCTGAGCCGAGAGTGTCCATCATATAAAGATCTACCATAGAGTAACACAAAGTAATGTTCTGAGCTGAGAGTGTCCATCATATAAAGATCTACCATAGAGTAACCCAAAGTAATGTTCTGAGCTGAGAGCGTGCATCACATAAAGATCTACCATAGAGTAACCCAAAGAAATGTTCTGAGCTGAGAGTGTCCATCATATAAAGATCTTCCATAAAGTAACCCAAAGTAATGTTCTGACCTGAGAGTGTCCATCATGTAAAGATCTCCCATAGAGTAACCCAAAGTAATGTTCTGAGCTTAGAGTGTCCATCATATAAAGATCTACCATAGAGTAACCCAAAGTAATGTTCTGAGCTGAGAGTGTCCATCATATAAAGATCTACCATAGAGTAACCCAAAGTAATGTTCTGAGCTGAGAGTGTCCATCATTAAAATATCTTCAAAAAAGTAACCCAAAGTAATGTTCTGAGCTGAGGGTGTCCATCAAATAAAGATCTACCATAGAGTAACCCAAAGTAATGTTCTGAGCTGAGAACGTCCATCATATAAAGATCTTCCATAAAGTAACTCAAAAGTAATATTCTGAGTTGTCAGTGTCCATCAAATAAAGGTCTTCCTTAGAGTGACCCAAAGTAATGTTCTGAGCGGAGAGTGTCCATCATATACGGATCTTCAATAGAATGACCCAAAGTAATAATCTGAGCTGACAGTGTTCATCAAATAAAGATCTTCAATAGAGTAACCCAAAGTGATAATCTGAGCTGAGAGTTTCCATCTCATAAAGATCTTACATAGAGCATCCCAAAGTAGTATTCTGAGCTGAGAGAGTGTCCATCATATAAAGATCTTCCAATGAGTAACATAAAGTAATAATCTGAGCTGAGAGTATCCATCATATAAAGATCTTACATAGAGTAACCCAAAGTAATATTCTGAGCTGAGATTATCCATCATATAAAGATCTTCCATAGAGTAACCCAAAGTAATGTTCTGACCCGAGAGTGTCCATCATATAAAGATTCTACATTGAGTAACTCTAAGTAATAATCTGAGCTGAGGGTATCTATTATATACAGATCTTCCATAGAGTAACCCAAAGTAATGTTCTGAGCTGAGAGCGTCCATCACATAAAGATCTTCCACAGAGTACACCAAAGTACTGTTCTGAGCTGAGAGTGTCCATCATGTAAAGATCTACCATAGAGTAACCCAAAGTAATGTTCTGAGCTGAGAGTGTCCATCATATAAAGATCTACCATAGAGTAACCCAAAGTAATGTTCTGAGCTGAGAGTTTCCATCATATAAAGATCTTCAATAGAGTAACCCAAATTAATATTCTGAGCTGAGAGTATCCATCATATAAAGATCTTCAATAGAGTAACCCAAAGTAATATTCTGAGCTGAGAGTTTCCATCTTATAAAGCTCTTACATAGAGTAACATAAAGTAATAATCTAAGCTGAGAGTATTCATCATATAAAGATCATACATAGAGTAACATAAAGTAATAATCTGAGCTGAGAGTATTCATCATATAAAGATCTTACATAGAGTAACCCAAAGTAATGTTCTGAGCTGAGAGTGTCAATCATATAAAGATCCTGCATAGAGTAACCCAAAGTAATGTTCTGAGCTGAGAGTGTCTGTCATATAAACATTTACCATAGAGTAACCCAAAGTAATATTCTGAGCTGGCTATCAATTTTAAAAGGGCCATCTATAGAGTAACCCAAGATAGTATTCTAAACTGAGACTGTCAATCATAAGAGGATCTTCAACAGAGTAACTCATGGTAATATACTGAGCTGAGATTATCCATAAAGGAGCTTCCAAGGAGTAACTCTTTTCAGTATTCTGTATTCTGAGCCATCATAAAAGGAGCTTCCATGGAGCAACTAAAGTACAGCAATATTCTGAGCTGAGAGTATCAATGATAAAAGGATCTTCCATAGAGGAATCCTCCAGATAGTATTCTGAGCGGAGAGTATGATAAGAGGAAGATCTGCTGCCAGTGATCACACACAGTCCCTGTGGCAGGACAGAGAGGTGGGGGAGACATGTACATGGAAATGTCGGCTCATCACTGACCAGCGGACATGAAATGATACATTTTCTATGTAATAATAATAACAACACATAGCGGGTGACAAGGGCTGCCTGTGCCATGCCCCATCAATCAGCGTTTTGTCCAGCAGCCCCGATCTCCCCGGTGGAAAATCCAGAGCAATGTGTGGCCGGAGCCCAATCAGCTGACAGCGAGCCTAGTGTGTCCTGGGAATGGTGCCCACCACAGCCAGGTGATCGGTGCCAACACAAACTCCCGGGCAAGTCAGTGTCTCCTTCATCCCGCAGCAATCCATGAGAAGGGGCTCAGTCGCAGCCCATTACCCCAGGCAGAGAGGATGGGAGGTGATGATGTGCCCCCCACAAGTTACCCCACTCCTGGAGCATACACATTCCTCAACAAGTATTAAAGTGCTGACTTACTGTGACAGGAGGGCGGGCAGAGCGGTGCCAGGCAATGACAGTGATCCCGGAGTACACAGTTGTGGCTCACATGAGCAGTAGCGCCGGTGTGTGTGTACGAGCACAGGGACAAGGCTCATAGGGACGGCCAGGATGGGAGGTCTGATCGGAGGCACTCGGCTACAGCCGGCAGGGTGGGGTAGGGCAGGCCCAGCCCATTGGGTGGAGGGTGGATCTGGGTGGAGGTTTGGACCAGTCAACATTGACACTTTCATAAATATCTATTTACAGAGCAGGCAGCCTCTCCCCGGCCCCCTCCCTTACTGGTCGCTCCCGACCCTTCCCGAAACTAGCACACATGGTACACTGTGCGCGCAGGGGGACTACAAATCCCAGCAATGCCTCCCTCATCTGGTCACTGTGCGTGCAGGGGGACTACAAATCCCAGCAATGCCTCCCTCATCTGGTCACTGTGCGTGCAGCGCTGTCACAGATATACGTGTGGCTGAAAGATACAACCGATTTATATTGCTACACAGATCACCCAATTCACTGGGAGATACTAATGTCGTGACCCTCGGTACAGAACGTGGCCAGAGAGGAGGGAGTCACTGATCAATGTGTACATAGACGTGTGTATATGTATATAATGTATATGTGTGTGATGGTGATATCAGTGTATATGTGTGGGTGGTGGTGATATCAGTGTATATGTGTGTAGGTGGTGGTATCAGTGTGTAGGTGGTGGTGGGGGGCATCAGTGTATATGTGTGGGTGGTGGTGGTATCAGTGTATATGTGTGTAGGTGGTGGTATCAGTGTGTAGGTGGTGGTGGGGGGCATCAGTGTATATGTGTGGGTGGTGGTGGTATCAGTGTATATGTGGGTGATGGTGATATCAGTTTACATGTGTGTGGGTGGTGGTGGTATCAGTGTATATGTGTGTAGGTGGTGGTATCAGTGTATATGTGTGTGGGTGGTGGTGGTGGTATCAGTGTATATGTGTGTAGGTGGTGGTATCAGTGTATATGTGTGTGGGTGGTGGTATCAGTGTATACAGTGTGTAGGTGGTGGTGGTATCAGTGTATATGTGTGTGTGTGTGGTGGTGGTATCAGTGTATATGTGTGTGTGTGTGGTGGTGGTATCAGTGTATATGTGTGTGTGTGGTGGTATCAGTGTATATGTGTGTGGGTGGTGATATCAGTGTATATGTGTGTGGGTGGTGGTATCAGTGTATATGTGTGTGGGTGGTGGTATATGTGTGTAGGTGGTGGTGGTATCAGTGTACAGTATATGTGTGTAGGTGGTGGTGTCAGTGTATATGTGTGTAGGTGGTGGTGTCAGTGTATATGTGTGTAGGAAGTGGTATCAGTGTATATGTGTGTCGGTGGTGGTGGGGGGCATCAGTGTATGTGTGGGTGGTGGTGGTATCAGTGTATTTGTGGGTGATGGTGGTATCAGTGTATATGTGTGGGTGATGGTGGTATCAGTGTATATGTGTGTAGGTGGTGGTATCAGTGGATATGTGTGTAGGTGGCCGTGGGGGGCATCAGTGTATATGTGTGGATGGTGGTGGTATCAGTGTATATGTGGGTGATGGTGGTATCAGTGTATATATGTGGGTGATGGTGGCATCAGTGTATATGAGGGTGATGGTGGTATCAGTGTATATGTGGGTGGTGGTGGTATCAGTGTATATGTGGGTGATGGTGGTATTAGTGTATATGTGGGTGATGGTTGTATCAGTGTATATGTGGGTGATGGTGGTATTAGTGTATATGTGGGTGATGGTGGTATTAGTGTATATGTGGGTGATGGTGGTATTAGTGTATATGTGGGTGGTGGTGATATCAGTGTATGTGTGGGTGGTGGTGGTATCAGTGTATATGTTTGTAGGTGGTGGTGGTATCAGTGTATATGTGGGTTGTGGTATCAGTGTATATGTGTGTGGGTGGTGGTATCAGTGTATACAGTGTGTAGGTGGTGGTGGTGGTATCAGTGTATATGTGTGTAGGTGGTGGTATATGTGTGTAGGTGGTGGTATATGTGTGTAGGTGGTGGTATCAGTGTATATGTGTGTGGGTGGTGGTATCAGTGTATACAGTGGGTGTAGGTGGTGGTGGTATCAGTGTATATGTGTGTAGGTGGTGGTATATGTGTGTAGGTGGTGGTGGTATCAGTGTATATGTGTGTAGGTGGTGGTAGTATCAGTGTATATGTGTGTAGGTGGTGGTATCAGTGTATATGTGTGTAGGTGGTGGTGGTATCAGTGTATATGTGTGTAGGTGGTGGTGGTATCAGTGTATATATGTGTAGGTGGTGGTGGTATCAGTGTATATGTGTGTAGGTGGTGGTGGTGGGCATCAGTGTATATGTGGGTGGTGGTTGGATCAGTGTATATGTGGGTGATGGTGGTATTAGTGTATATGTGGGTGGTGGTGGTGGCATCAGTGTATGTGTGGGTGGTGGTGGCATCAGTGTATGTGTGGGTGATGGTGGTATCAGTGTATATGAGGGTGATGGTGGTATCAGTGTATATGAGGGTGATGGTGGTATCAGTGTATATGAGGGTGATGGTGGTATCAGTGTATATGAGGGTGATGGTGGTATCAGTGTATATGTGGGTGATAGACTAGTTGCTATGGGCAGCAAATGAAATAAATGTTCTCTATAACTAGACAACCAGGACATATAATTGATTCTATATTATCCACAAAGGGTTAACAGCCCTCTCTCAACCCTGCAGCAGTGCCTGTACCTGCTCTCAATAGTAGCTCCGCCCTCTCTGTGCAGCAAGTAGCTTCTTCCTTCTGACAGACAAGCCTCGTTCTGAGGCTACTCTAGAGATCACATGACCTTCCTCCAGGAGGCAAGCCTCGTTCTGAGGCTACTCTAGAGATCACATGACCTTCCTCCAGGAGGCAAGCCTCGTTCTGAGGCTACTCTAGAGATCACATGACCTTCCTCCAGGAGGCAAGCCTCGTTCTGAGGCTACTCTAGAGATCACATGACCTTCCTCCAGGAGGCAAGCCTCGTTCTGAGGCTACTCTAGAGGTCACATGACCGTCCTCCAGGAGGCAAGCCTCACTCTGAAACTTTACCCACTGATATCTTACCGGAAAGGTTTACTCAGAGTAAACATTTCAGGGAGAAAATGCCTCTCTCGCAGACGTCAGGGAGCCGCTATCTAATAGAGGGAGACTCCCTGAACATCAGGGAGACTTGAGATCCCTGGTGTATATGTGGGTGATGGCAGTGGTGTATTTACAGATCCTGCTGCCCTAGGCAAGACAGCAACGCCGCCCCCCATCAGTGTATATGTATGGAAAATAATGATCTGACCCCCTGTAGAGTTTGCCCATGTACAAAGACATGAAAGGTCGATCATTTTTATCGTAGGTGTATTTTATATGATGGAGACAGAATATCAGAAAAAACACAATACAAATGGAGTTGCAGTTCAGTGAGTAAAAGAAGTATTTGATCCCTGAGTAAAACATGACGTAGTACTTGGTGGAGACGTTTCTTGTATTTGGTTACCAGGTTTGCACACATCTCAGGAGGGATTTTGGTCCTTTCACAGATCTTCTCTAAATCCTTCAGGTTTCTTGGCTGTCGCTTGGCAACTCAAAGTTTCAGCTCCCGCCATAAATGTTCTATAGGATTAAGGTCTGGAGACTGGCCACCCCATGACCTCAATGTGCGTCTTCCTGAGCCACTGCTTTGTTGCCTTGGCGGTATGTTTTGGGTCATTGTCATGCTGACCCATCCACGACCCATCTTCAGTGTTCTGGCTGAGGGAAGAAGATTCTCATCCAAGATTTTACAATAGATGGCCTCATCCATTGGCCCCTCAATACGGCAAAGTCAGCTTGTGCCTTTAGCAGAGAAACAGCCCCAAAGCATAAAGTTTCCACCTCCGTGTCTGACTGTAGGGATGGTGTTCTTAGGGTCAGTCAGCATTTTCTTCCTCCAAACACAGCGAGTCACGATAATGACAAAGAGCTCCATTTTGGTCTCGTCTGACCGCAGCACTTTCTGCCAATCCTTCTCTGAATCATTTAGATATTCATTGGCAAGCGTCAGACGGGCCTGTACATGTGTCTTCTTGGAGGAGAGGGACCTTGCGCACTCTGCAGGATCTCAATCCATGGCGGTGTATTGTGTTACCAATGGTTTGTTTGGTGACTTTGGTCCCAACTGAGATCATTCGCAATTGGTTACTTTGTATTCCTCCTATTTGCAAATAATCGCTCCAACAGCTGTTTCCTTCTCACCAAGCTTCTTGCTGATAGTCTTGTAGCCCATTCCAGCCTTGTGCAGGTCTACAATCTTGTCCCAACGTCCTATGACAGCTCTTTGGTCTTGACCATGGAGGTGAGGTTTGAATGGAAGAAAGAGATTCTGTGGACAGGTGTCTTATATACATAACGAGTTATCGTTAGGGGCACCTTCTTAAAGTGACAGGACTAATCTGTGTACCACATAGCCAGTCTGTGGGAGGAGCCAGAATTATTGTTGGTTGCTAGACGATCAAATGCTTATTTTACTCACTGCATGTGTGTAGGTGGTGGTGGTATCAGTGTATATGTGTGATGGTGGTATCTATCTATCTATCTATCTATCTATCTATCTATCTATCTATCTATCTATCTATCTATCTATCACTCTCTCTTTCCCCCCCTCTCTCTCTCCCCTGCCTCTCTCTCACTCTCTCTCCCCCCAACTCTCTCTGTGATCTATACAGTTAGAAGGGATACAACATTAATGAAAGGGGTAGAAGGTCTAAACTATGAGGACTGCATTCAAAATGTAAACATATTCACCTTAGAGAAGAAGTGATTTCCAGGAGACCTTATTGCAGACTTCAAAATCCTCAATGGGGACCCCAATATTCAGAACAAACTGTTCAATCCCAAAACTGTATTGAGAACCTGGGGACACAACATGAGGTTAGGAGAGAGGGGGTTAAATGTTAGAAGTCGTAGGGGGTTGTTACTTTACTGTGAAAGTGGTGACATTTTGGAATACCCTTCCACAGGCAATGGTACCCGCAGATAGCGCAGATACATTCAGGACATTTCCTAATGACTTTCTTCTTTCATTTAACCTCTTGCCGTCCGCCCGTAGTAGAAAAACGGACGGAAGGAATAAATGTCAGTCAAAG